TGACGCCTGCTTCAGACCATACAAACTTTTATTCAATTTACATACACGCCCACTGCCATCGTTATATCCGACCGGTTGTCTCATGGAAATATGTTCTTTCAGGTTTCCATACAGGAATGCAGTCTTGACGTCAAACTGCTTTAACTGCATTTTATTCATTGCTGCCAATGATAAAATTGCGCGAATCGATGTGTACTTAACTACGGGGCTGAATGTGTCCTCATAGTCCACACCAATTGTTGCGTGAAGCCACGATTTACCAAACGAGCTTTGTATCTTTCGATTGAACCATCTGTATTCTCTTTCATTTTGAATACCCAGCGATCCCAGGTGTTGTTCTTGATTAACGAATTGTACTCTTCCTCAATTGCACGCTTCCACTGTTGTTGTTGTTGTTGTAGCGGCTACAACAACCCCGCCCAGATCGGTTGTTTATCAGACCAGCGCTGACTATTGTTATGTCTGGCGAGCTACTGCAGTTACCCATAATCCTGGTGGGTGCGTCGTCGTTCATTGTGCAGAATGTCGAATCGTCTATCTGCTCAGCCAAGTCTGTTCCCCTATGATCGTTTGACAGGCTTGAGTGCCAAAGATCGTGGTGCGCATTAAAGTCACCTACTACCATACGGTTTTCACCTCTGAGGAGCGCACCTATATCAGGGTGATATCCTGCCGGGCAGCAGGTGACAGGGGGTATGTAAATGTTAAATATTTTGAGCTCGACATCGCCTGACCGGATAGCGATGCCCTGACATTCTAGGGTGGTATCCCTGGGGTCGATGTCTGCTTCGATAAGACGATACTGCACGGTGTGGTGCGTGATGAACGCTAAGCCACCACCATTATCTCGCTCGCGATCTCGACGGTGCACATTGTACCCGGCGCAATTCAACAAAGTTGAATTGCTGTGCAGCTTCGTCTCTTGGACCGCAGCTATTAATATACCATGCCGACACATGAAGACGGTTATCTCCTCAATCTTGCTCTGTAGCCCGTTGCAGTTGAATTGGAGGAGCTTCATGTGGTTCGGGAGACGTGTCGTGATGTGGGGTGTGAGTGAGGTGTATGTTCTTGCCGCCGTTGGCTGTGTGTGCTGCTGAGATGGTTGCCGCCCTGTGGTGGTGGTGGGGGGGCGTCGCAATTGACGTCTGCGACCGAGCAGCGCAACACGGGCCCTCGAAATTCCCCGTCCAATCTCGCGTGGTACGCAGACCTGAACATGCCCTAAAGTGGCACCAGCCAAGGCAGGTGTTGCACTTGACTGATGTCACATTACGGAATATTCTGGTCTGACATACCGTGCAGATTGTAGGGGGAACCAGGAGTTGTTGGCGGCGGCGTGTGGGTGGTGGTGCAGTTGTGTGTGTTATGTGGTCTGTGGTGGCTATGGTACGGTCTGTGGTGGTAAACGGGGTTAGATCGCCGAAACAACAGCCCTTGGTCGGGTGAAACCCGAGTCATTCCGGTACGTAGAACCGGCTGTCGCTTCCACTGCTCTGCATTTGTCGATTGCATTGCCTCTTCATATGTTACCGGCTCAATCACGGTCGCAGAACATACAGTTTCAATCAAACGCTCTGGTGGCTTGATTTCTTGTCGTAATTCATACCTTTGGCTGTTTCTTTGGCCTACGTTGTCTTCTTGTGCGTCTTCAAAATGATCATCATCGCTGGTAACAGCTTCACTATTTGGTGCTTGATGCTGAACAATTACCTCCTCTTCACTATCGGAGCTGTCCCGAATTACGAACCTTTTTGAATCAACTTCATGGAAACGAACATCACAGCTGAGAAAGATCTTTTGGTTCTCTGGATCATATAAGCGAAAATTCTTGATAGTGGGCTCAAAACCAACTAAAGCACCTTTTTTTGCCTTTGGATCCCACTTCTTCCGACCCTTTTGTACTGGAACTTGTACAAAACATTCAGTTCCAAAGATCTTGATATGACCCAAGTATGGTTTTCGACCAAACCACTTTTCGTATGGTGTGCTGCCAATACACTTGCTATTTGTTGTACGGTTCAACAAGTATGTGGCTGTTCGTACCGCCTCAGGCCATAAAAACTTGGACAATGATGGATTATATTTTCTCGTTCAACTAGACCACTCTGTTCCGGGGTATATGGTGTGATGTATTCAATTTTAATGCCTTCATCGCTGAGTAATTTCTTGACCCTTTGATTCACAAATTCCGTCCCATTATCAAAACGAACGAATTTAATTTGAGCACCATTCATATTGCGAGCCATGGGGATGAACGATTTCAAACATTCATATACCTCATCCTTGGTCTTCAGCAAATACGTAAATCGAAAGGTTGTTGCTTCGTCTTTAATAAAAAAATAATAATTGTAGCCGCCAATTCCACTCTCTTCCATGGGACCGCACACATCCATATGTAAATACTCCCCCCGTTTCGTCACTCGCGCGCACTGCCGTGCGCTGTGATAATCCTTACCAAATAGGGTTCTCCTTTTGGTTTGCACCCATGATACAAAAAAGAAGGTAGTTCCATTTAATGACATTCGTTGTTGTTGCTAACCATTTGACTTTTAATAAAATTATGACATTTCATAAAATTCATGCTACCTGATCACCAGAGATAATATTTTTTTTTTTTGTAAAAGTAAACAAAAATGTATGAAAATGAGTGAAGTTTAGTGAAGTTATTGAACATATATGAAAGGAGGGCTGCATGACCATCCGTCACCTCTCGAATTCAAGTACAGATTTCGATCATACCTTCTAGGTAATTTTTTACCACTTAAAGAAATTATTGTTGTTGTCATAAGGATTCTAAAATGTATGCATGAACTTTATTAGGGCGAAACGAAACTATTTTGAGCACGGAAACAAATGTTGAGTCTTCAAGTGAAGTAATGTTAAAATTTGAAGAGGAGTTGCTCAGTGAAAATGTTTTCAAACCACTTAACGATATTGAAATATCCGCAGAAGAAGAACTCGAGGTAAACTCCTTACCCTTTCGTTTTTATTTGATTTCTAATTTTTTTAAGTAGCTCGCAGAAGAGCATGAAGCAGAAGATTTCATCAGTCCACTCAAAGATGTGGAATATGATGAACTTGAAAATTTTGCCGGCTACATAATTTCGAAAATGGGGTTGACAAAACTAGGCTTCAGGACGCATGAAGAAAGTGATCAAAATTATACGTATGTTAACTGTTTATCGGAGGGCGGTCTGTACAAGCCTAATTCAAGTTTTTTGCATACATTGGAAATTTTGAATTCAAAATTAGTTGAAATTAATGGTGATTCGCTAACCACAAAGCCAAAATTTTTGCAAAATCTGATGAGAAATTTAAAAGTACATTTGGACCAAAATATTATAAAAAGATTTTATTTGGGAAGAACATTCTTTAGAATTCGATTTTTAAATCGCAAGATTAAAGAAACGAAAATTGTATATCAAAATAAGAAAATGAAAAAAATAACAACATAATGCACTAATGGTTTTTATTATAAAATAAAAAGAATAATTACAATGTAACAGTTTACATTTTATATATTTTTAATAAAAGAGGGGCAAACCACGTAAGTAAAAAAATATCAAGTACTGATTGTGAGTTTTAATTTGAAATATTCTCACATTGGTAAAAATATGGGAAAGAAAATACTCCGATGTATTGTTTTAATATTATCAAAGTGGCAAGGCCGTTGATAATACTGACAATTTATGAAACTTCAAAAAATTTTATTATCCGTCAAAAGTTGTTTATTGAAACTACCTTCTTTTTTGTATCATGGTTTGCACCAACTTGGGAAAGGATGAGGTAACTAGAATTCCCTTTCTGTGTGGTAAACCTGGGCTACCGCCCCAGTGATGTCTATTATGGTTATGATCAGGTCTAAAACCCCTATCGATCCCAATACAACCATACCCCACACCCGAAAGAAGCTACAGGGACAGTAAATAAATATTTGCCATGGAAAGTTTTATATTTTTAATGCTTACTGGGTTATATGTTATCTTCATTTGTCTCTCATTCTTTTGCATATTTTGGAGTTTGACAGCTGAACTCCGCCATTTAATTTGCATATGCAACCAAAGTCAGACGCGTGATTTTGAAGGTGTTTTTATTTAATGAATTTTGATTAATTGGTTAATATTAAAGTCATAAAGTTATAACTAATCGAGTAAAGTGTAAAGTGAAGGGGAATATAAAAATAGATTGGTGATGTTGCTGCTTTAAGGAGAATAGGAGTGATAAATCTACGCTAATTTCCTAATTTTACAACAACAGGGCATATTCGAAACCCAATTTGTAAATAAATTAGTGATCAAAAATTACAAAAGTATTTGTTAAAATAATGTGTAGACCCTTGACTATAAGAGTGTGTAAATTTTTTTGGATCGCGTCACCCCTTTCGACGCAATACCTCGAAATAGTTAGGCCTCGTACTAAACAGTACCCCAGATTCTTATTACTGGGTTGCAGACGCGTCCATTTGTACCCCATTTCCAGAATTTCGAAAAATTTTAAGGGTTGAAAGCCCAACTAGATAATTACCAGCGTGAACTGTTGTCTACAAGTGTGTGTAAAAGTTTTTTGATTCGAATTACGCGTTTGAGCACCTCAAAATCCTTTCAAAAAATACGCAAACGGAACCCATCAAACTTTATAAAACTTAGGGCTGGTTTCTCCAACTCAACTTAACTTAGCTTAGCCACTTTTTGGACTTAAGTCATAAGTTAGCCTACGTTTTACACATCTTATTCTGACTAAGTCATGAAAATTGGCTTAATTAATTAAGTTGAGTTGGGGAAACCAGCCCTTAATGTTCTTAAATTTGGAATTTCGTTAACATCCTTGGTTTTGATAAATACTGAAACTAATACATTAAAGTCGTTTTGTAGTCTATTAGGCTTTTAGATGTAATCTACCGACCTTTGTACAAAGCTCAATTTCGAACACAAATGACTTAGAACTTCCTATATTAAGTTAACGATAGAGCGCATTTTTCGCATTTTTAGAATTTTTACCTCAGGACGTTCTGCTCTTGGCGATGTTATTAATGATAGAAAGACGACAAACATATAAACTGTAAACATCCACAACAAAGCCTTAGTGAGTAACGATTTTACTTTTTGCTCGTTGTCACTGCCTTTTTCGTCATTTTGATTTGAATTTTGGCTGCCGTTTTTCCCAGCTGAGCCTTGCTTATGGTCCGATTTTTTTGGAGTAAAATCTTTACTACTAAAATGTAATTGTCGGAAAATGCAAGGCGACATAGAGCAAGAACGAGCAAGCAGATTCACAGCTGCTTTATATTCCCTGCGATAACGTTTCATCTGAAAAATATAATCCTGTAAGAATCTAAACAATGAGCAGAAAAAATTAAAACAGTTAACCTCGTTATGTGGCGGCGAAATACGTAAAATCGGAAATAGTTTGACATATCCCAGTTCCTTAGGATGCTTCGTTACAATAAATTGTTTAATATTACATAACTGCTTCGCTTGCCTCCACATTATGTCCTCATTATTAGCAACAATCTGCTTCAAAACAAATACTTTCCCTTAGCTAAAAACAATATATAACACTCTTTCCAAATAGCAGTGGTGCCGAACTATCGATGGCACTATCGATGGTTTTGGTTTTTTTTTCACCATCGATAGTTTTGAAAAACTATCGAGTATTTTCACTATTGAAGGTTTATATATATTGGACCGGTTGTTCAAGGCCTGATTAGCACAAATCGGAGGTAGAAGCTCTGGTTAAATACAACGACTGCTTTATCGATCTCATGTTATAAGCATGATGTCGAAAACGTCAATAATTATGTTTAACCGGCAAGTCGTGATAACCAGATATTGAAGAACCGGCCCCAAATTTATGACACAAAAATGCTGAATGTGCATTGGAAAAGCGGCAATACTTTTATATAAAATAATATATGGCAACTATGTTGGCCTAGCGTCATCATCAGTAGGATCGGAACGAATGTACAGTAAAGCAGTTTTAAGAGTAAACGAAAAAATATCGCAACTAAAACCTAAAAATGTTGACATGCTATAGTAAGGGCCGGTTACTCAATGTCCGGTTAACACTAATCTGCGGTTAAACATCGTTATCGACGTCTTCGACTCCCCACTTCCCACGACAGCCGGTTCTACGTACCGGAATGACTCGGGTTTCACCCGACCAAGGGCTGTTGTTTCGGCGATCTAACCCCGTCTAGATCGGCGATACCCATTAATCATTATCCGTCCATGGAGCAATACCTTGCAGCCGGATTGCTCCGCATCCTTCTTCTCCGGGCGGGCGTAGAGCCCAACCCCGGACCTGAAATTTACTTCTGCTGTGTTTGCCAGAATCGACTCCACTCGAACTCCACTTCGGTTAGGTGCAACTCCTGCAACGGGTGGAGTCACCTAAGAACCTGCTCTGGCCTTAGGTCTCACCGGGAGTGGACCACAAACTTTGTGGCTCCCTGTTGCTCAAGCCAAATGGCACAATCAGCCTCCACGGCTACCCACTCGCGTAATGCACGGGCACCCGAAGAGCCTGCACGGCCCCTAGAAGCTCCCCTGAGCAACAGCAAACCTCCCAACATACCCCTCCCACACAACCTACCGGCCGGTCCCACTCGCGAGCGCGAGCCAACCAGCAGCTACTGGTTGCCCACACCATCTGCTCCGTGTGCCAGAACAGAATATACCGGAATGTGACATCAGTCAAATGCAACACATGCCTTGGCTGGTGTCACTTCCGGCTATGTTCTGGTCTACGCACCACTCGCGAATGGACTACAAACTACAGCGCCCCTTGCTGTAGTGCACCGCCGACGCAGACAACAACGCCCATATCGCAGCCACCTACCATCAGGCTGCAACAGCAACTGCGTCTGGCGCAACAGGCCCAAGGTAGGCCCCACACTTCTCTGACCCCCCGTATCGCGACCAGCCTCCCAAGGCACATAAACGTACTCCAACTCAACTGCAACGGACTCCAGAGCAAGATTGAGGAGATAGCAGTCTTCATGGGTCGGCACGGCATATTGATAGCTGCGGTCCAAGAAACGAAGTTGCACAGCAACTCAACTCTGTTGGGTTGCGCCGCCTACAATGTGCTCCGTAAAGATCGCGAGCGAGATAATGGTGGTGGACTAGCGTTCATTCTACACCACACAGTGCAGTATCGGCTAATCGAAGAAGACATCGACCCAAGGGACACTACCCTAGAATGTCAGGGCATAGCTGTCCGGTCAGGCGATGTCGAGCTCGAAATATTTAACGTGTACATACCCCCTGTCACCTGCTGCCCGGCTGGATATCTCCCTGACATAGGTGCGCTACTCAGAGGCGAAAACCGATTGGTAGTAGGTGACTTCAATGCGCACCACGATCTTTGGCACTCAAGCCTGGCCAATGATCGGAGGGGAAACAGTTTGGCTGAGCAGATAGACGATTCGACATTCTGCACCATGAACGACGACGCCCCCACCAGGATTGTGGGCAGCTGCAGCAGCTCGCCAGACGTAACAATTGCTAGCGCTGGTCTGATAAATAGCATATCATGGCGACCTATGCTAACGTTAGCATCAGACCATCTGCCCATAATCATCTCGATCAATAAGCCCACCGACTTTGCTCCCGCGGATCACCGAACCTACACCAACTTCAACAAAGCTGATTGGAACGGCTTCGCGGAAGTTACCGAGAGCAGCTTCGCCGCCCTCCCCACACCCACAGACGTATATGCTGGCGAACGCCAGTTCCGCAAGGTAGTCACAGCCGCAGCAGCTCGCTTCATACCGTCCGGACGCATCGCGGAAGTCCGCCCAAATTTCCCGGCTGAAGCAGCTGTACTAGCAAATGAGCGTGACCACCTACGCCAGGTCGACCCCGGGGACCCTTGCTTGAGGGAACTTAATTTGGAGATTCGGCAACTGGTAAATCAACACAAGCGGACAAAGTGGGAAGAGCACTTGAATGCCTGTAACTTCACCTCTGGTGTGAGTAAGCTCTGGTCAACCGTGAGGTCCTTGTCCAACCCGACGAAGCGTGATGACAGAGTGGAAATTTCATTCGAAGGTCACGCCTCATCGGACCCGAAGAAATGCGCGAACTATTTCAGTCGGCAATTCACACTGCATCCTTCGGTAGACAAGGCCAAACGTCGAGTGACCAGGAGGCTGCACAAACTGCCCAAAAACGATGCACCACTTGTTTTCACCAGCGGTGAAGTAAAGGGGGCCATCGGGAAGGCGAAAGCCTCCAAAGCCATTGGACCCGACGGAATCTGTATGCTGATGTTGAAACATTTGGGGCCTGTGGGGGTAGCATACCTCACGGAGGTCCTCAATTTGTCTATGACCACTCTCATCATTCCTGATGTGTGGAAATCAGGGAGAGTGGTCCCACTGCTGAAACCGGGGAAGCCCGCAAACAGAGGAGACTCTTATCGCCCGATAACGCTCCTTTCCCCGGTCGCGAAGACACTTGAGGCCCTGCTGCTCCCATACTTCACCTGCCACCTAACCCCAGCGAAACATCAGCATGGCTTCCGTAAAGTGCACAGCACAACAACAGCACTTAACGCCATAAACACCCAGATAACCCGCGGCCTAAATCGAAACCGCCCCTGTGAGAGAACTGTCCTAGTAGCGCTGGACTTGTCAAAGGCGTTTGACACCGTCTGCCATTCCACGCTGCTAGAAGACATTGAGGCCTCCTCTCTCCCACAGGGACTGAAGCGATGGTCGGCGAATTATATGAGTGGTAGGCAATCATCAGTAATCTTCAGAGATCAAACCTCGAAACCTAGAAGAATAAAACAAGGGGTTCCACAAGGTGGTGTTCTCTCCCCCTTACTTTTTAACTTCTATATCTCGAAACTCCCCCAGCCACCTGAAGGAGTTTCCCTGATCTCCTACGCTGATGACTGTTCGATTTTGGCGTCTGGGAATGGAATTGATGACCTCTGCTCAAAAGTAAACGGCTATCTCTCCAGCCTTTCTCGCTTCTTCACTGCAAGGAGCCTAACCCTCTCCCCAACGAAATCAACGGCGACCCTCTTCACCACCTGGACGAAGGAGGTCAGGCTTGAATTAGGCATTCACGTCGACGGCACACCAATACCGACGGTGAACAACCCGAAAATTTTAGGGGTTACCTTTGATAGCCTGCTCTCTTTCTCCGCGCACACAACCGCAGTTGTCAACAAAGTACAGAGCCGCAACAAGGTCCTCAAGTCGCTCGCCGGCAGCACTTGGGGCAAAGACAAAGAAACGTTGTTGGCAACATACAAGGCAATTGGCCGGCCGGTTCTAAATTATGTTGCGCCAGTTTGGACGCCGGGGACTAGTTGGACGCAGTGGACGAAGCTACAGACTTGTCAGAACGCCGCACTCCGGACAGCGACCGGGTGCCTTCTGATGACGCCTGAGCATCACCTACACAGTGAGGCCCAAGTGCTCCCCGTAAGGGAACACAACAAGATGCTCTGTAAGCAGTTTCTTGTGGGGTGTCACAGAAGTGAACACCCCAACAGACCACTGCTGGAGGAGGAGCCTCCGCCCAGGCACGTCAGGGGGCACCTATTCATGTACAAGGACGCAGTCCAGACCTACACAGACCAACCACTGGACCCAATGACGTACAGACGAGCGATTAACGACATTCATAGGGAGTCTGTCTCCACCTACCTCGACTCCCGGCCTAGGAATGTCGTTATCGGAGCCCAATCACCACCTGTGGAAGAGACGGAGCTTCAGTTACCTAGAGAGACCCGCGTTACCCTGGCTCAGTTACGGTCTGGATATTGTAGCCGCCTAAACAGCTACCTGTCCAGACTCGACCCAAACATCCCAAATGAGTGCCCGGCATGTGGAGACTCCCCCCACGACACCAACCACCTCTTCACATGCCAGCTCAATCCGACTCAACTAACACCTCTCTCCCTTTGGTCCGACCCCATCGAAACAGCTCGTTTCTTGGGCCTACCGTTAGTTGTGCTTGACGATAATGATTAAAAGTTGACCCGAAACAGGCGGGGCTTAGTAGTGCCGCTACAACAACAACAACAACAACTCCATACATACAACAGGGAGTCGGTAACGTCGATAACAATGGTTAGCCGGAGATTAGTGTTAACCAGACATTGAGTAACCAGCCCTTAAAGTATAAAGAATAGGGTCCGATGAGCTAGAACAAAAGAAACAGTAGGCGTGGCTCGCCACTTAGGGCCGGTTTCTTAAAGACTGATTAGTGCCTAAACGGTGTTTCAGTAATCGGTGTTTTGGTGAAAAAAGCGTTTTTTCAATGCCCGATTAGCACAAATTCGTCGGTTAACAAACCGATTAAGTTTACCAGGCGATGGCCACTGGTTAGCTGCTAACAGATCAAAAAGTGACATCTGACAGCTGTCAAACATTTCAAAAATTAATTTATTGTTATTTACACGCACATTTTTATAATTATGGAACATATAATTGGGCTTTCTATTATTTCCAATTTGGATTCGATGCGCGTTATAAGAAAACCGCGAACATATGCAGCGAAAGCAAATTTCTTTGAGGAATATGACGAGTATACATTTGTAAAAAGGTTTCGTCTTTCAAAAAAAAGTGCTCTGTATATTTTTGAAAAAAATCAAAGAAAAATTCGAAATTACACTCAAAGGTTTGTGGAAATATGGTTTACATATGTATATTAAAAATAGCATCGTTTGTATTAATAAAATTCGTTTTACAGAAACCACGCACTGAGCCCATTGGAAATGTTATTGCTAGCTTCTATGCATCAGGAAGCTTTTTAATTACAGTGGCTGATTTCTGTGGAGTGAGTACGTCCACTGCAAGCCGAGTAGTCAAAAGAGTCTCCTATGCAATCGCAGAACTTTCGAGAGAGTATATTAAAATGCCAAAAAACAGTGCAGAATTGGAAATTGTTAATCGTAGTTTTCATCGGATTGCAAATTTCCCAAAAGTCGTTGGATGTATAGACTGCACCCATGTAAAGATCCAATCGCCTGGTGGAGTAAACGCCGAAATATTCCGAAATCGGAGAGGGTACTTTTCGTATAATGTACAAACAGTCTGCTATGCAAATCTGGAGATAACTGATCTTGTATGTCGATGGCCTGGCTCCGCACATGATGCCAACATTTTTAATAATAGCCGTATTAAGCATCGTTTTGAGCTAAATCAATTCAAGGATTGCTTTGTACTAGGCGATAGTGGGTATGGTGTCAGTAGATACATGATGACGCCGCTTTTACATCCTAACACTGCTGCGGAACGGTTGTATAACGAGTCTCAAATCAGAACCAGAAGAGATGCGGATCCATCCGAAGAAGAGAATTTTACTGCTGAAGAGTCCACTGAAAATGCAATGGAGGCAGATGAATCCACGACCGAAACGCCAGGAGTCTCTTTTATGAGGTCGAGTTTAATCAGAGACTATTTTGCAAGGTTAGTTTATACATAAGTCAGCTCATTAAGCCACGGATAAATAATGTAAATTATTCTTTTTTCAGGTTATAAAGGAATACCAGGAGTGCCAGTTACTGTATTAATATTCGAATTCGGGTTCGGTTGGTATTCGTACCATATACACTGGTGGCCGGATAATTAGAAACGATTTTCTTTTTCAAGTTTTGACAATCTATTTGTAAATATTATTTTTAAATTAATTTTTTTTAGGTAAATATAGTGCATACTACAACGAAAATCAAATAACTCAAAGCTTTAAACTTTGTATAAGATTTATAATAATTCGACGAAGTTCGAAAAATGGACATCAAAATTTCAAAATTTTTATTTGGAACTTTTAGAAATAATTCGGATATGCAGTTTTATAGCCCATTCATCTTTAGTATAATATTGTGCAAGTTTGAATTAGCTCAAAAATCTCGTTGATTTTTAAAAATTTTTTTTGTTAGCGGTGTTGCTCATTTCCTATCATACAAAAAAAATGTTGAACACACTTTGTATGGAAGAAATCGCTTAACATAGTCTTGCACAATATTATACTAAAGATGAATGAGCTATAAAACTGCATACCCGAATTATTTCTAAGAGTTCCAAATAAAAAGTTTTAAATTTTGATGTCCATTTTTCGAACTTCGTCGAATTATTATAAATCTTATACAAAGTTTAAAGCTTTGAGTTATTTGATTTTCGGTGTAGTATGCACTATATTTTCCTAAAAAAAATAAATTAAAACTAATATTTACAAATAGATCGTTTCTAATTATCCGGCCACCAGTGTATGATATGTACAGTAGTTTTTAGTTTATTTTGTTTATTTAATGCTTATTATTTTTTTAATAAAAGTCTAGCTGGTTATACAACAAACACCACATAAAATAATATTTCAAACTTTGTACAAAAATTATAAGAAGTATTCAAAGTTTCACCAAAACTTCAAACTTTTTAATCAGATTTTTTAGCGACTTGAATCTTACACCTCATACACTGTTCCGCCTCGAGCCGATTGAGGTCGGGCAGATTGGGCTGTGGACTGTATTAAAGATGATCTTCTTTAGTGGCTGGAACTGCTGCATGCAAAAGCCGATCGAGGAATGTCAAGGGCACTTATTTGACCTGAACCGTTCGTCTCTCAACACAGTTTTTTCCCATAGCGGGATTTCAGTTGGAGAGTTGAACGGTAGAATTTATTGTCCAATGTGGCATCTAGTCCGCCAATGAGGATGAATTGGGCCCGTATCTACACTCGTCAACTGCTCGCGTTGCCATATGGCAAAACATCACAATTTCCTCACAGTGCATTTACACGTTCAAGTTAATTAGGCTGTTGGCCTAAACATACACTATATCTTAAAGGCTACAAAACTCTATACAAAAATTTTTTCTAAAGATTCTGATTAAAAAGTTTGAAATTTTGGTATACTTATAATATTTGTACAAAGTTTGAAATATTAATTTATATGGTGTTTGTTGTAGAACCAGCTAGACTTTTACAAAAAAAATAATAAGCATTAAATAAACAAAAGACAAATAGCCAAAGTTTTCAAGATATCGTACTGCTATTATTTTGTGGACAACTGTATGTATATATTAATAGGCTAACATAAATTTTGTAAGATGCATACCTTCAAAAGCATTTTCATAATATAAACAAAATTCTGTTTTGTAGACAATTTATTTATTTTATTTCCTATTACTAGACTATGTTATCTACATAGATATACATATGTATTTGTAATATACAAAAATATGTACATATATGTAAGTATATTCGAGTGCATCACTCTTCATAAAAAAAATCGGCACTGTTTTTCTAGCGGAGTTGTAAATTTTATTATATTTTAAGACTTTCGCCAAAATATTTCGTAAAATATAAAGATTTACATGAGCTGAACCCATTTGGAATATACAGCCAGCATCAACAATACGCTATGCAATTATGCAAGAAATTTTCAACTTTGCATTTCGATTCCTTAGAAACATTTTGAGTAATCAGTTTTGTAAATTTTAATATAATAAAGGGCAAGTTCAAAGTCGTTAAAAATTAACGTTGATTTTTGATGATTTTTTGCTGCATTGTACTACACTGGTTTTCGCTGTTGAATGAACTATGTAGTAATCTTTATAAAAAATAAAATCAAATTTGATATAGAAAATATACATTATAGTGCAAAACCGAGTACATAGTGATTTCTGTTAAATATTTGCAAGGTTTTTTAAGCAAACTTTCAATTTTCATACAGAGCTTAGAAAAATTCAACAAAATGTCATCCCAATATTTTATTTTTTAATCAGAATTTTTAGAAAATGTTTGGGTATGCAGTTTTTTACCCAATACAATCTTAGTCTGATGAAGTGCGAGTCTCAACCGGCTAAAAAATCGCGTTGATTTTTAATATTTTTTTGGTGATGGCTTTTGCGGGTTTTTTCTTACAACAAATGCAATTTATAAAATATGGCGTTGATTTTTTTTTTAATTTCTTCGCAAACGGTCTTGCGCATTCTTTCCATAAGAAATTCTTGCTTATTTGAAAAAAAGCCGTCAGCAAAATAAAAATTGTTAAAACTCAACGCGATTTTTTAGCCGGTTGAGACTTGCCTTCACCAGACTAAGATTGTATTGGGTAAAAAACTGCATACCCAAACATTTTCTAAAAATTCTGATTAAAAAATAAAAAATTGGGATGACATTTTGTTGAATTTTTCTAAGCTCCGTATGAAAATTGAAAGTTTGATTTATATGGGTTTGGGTACAGCATATACCATATTTTTATAAAGCAATAACAAAAAAATTTTTAATTTAAAAAATCTTGCAAATATTTAACAGAAACCACCCTGTACTTAGTTTTGCTCTATAGTGTAAATAAATAAAAATCATCGAAACATCTGCGTATGCATACTCTTGACACTGAAAATACCTTCCAAATGAGTTTTATATAAATAAAATTAAATAATAATTTTCAAAAAACTAAATATTAGTGGTATTTCAGTCTTTCCGTATTAAATAGAGCCGATAGCAGAAAATGATAACGTTCCCGAAATTTTGGAGGAAAACGTATCATAACCGTTTGGAATACATCGAGCCCATTGATAAAAATAAATATATATGTACGAATAAAGCAACTTCAGGTGTTGATAAGGAACTCTTTCACCTTTCTAATTTATATATACTCTGTTGTGTATGTACACTGACTTTCACTTTGCCTGTTTTTTAATTTCATATCAATTTGTAAAAGTTCTAACTTCATCTCTGCTTCCGAAATCTTTAATTCGTGTTTTTTTTGCCCACTGATGTATTTCGGCTGCTCTCTTGTTCTCATCTTCCCAGAAAGCTTGTTGATGGTCAAGCTTTTGCTTTCCCTTTTCATTTTTCACCGCTAGTTTTTCAGATTTCTTCTTTTTAAGCAGTGTTGGGTTCCATGCGCTCCAATCGTTTGTATTGTCCCAAAAATTTCGGGAACGACGTCATTTTCTGCTATCGTCTCTATTTCATATGTAATGACTGAAATACCATTAATATTATTAAACATCAATAACTATCACGTGTAAACATATGTACAAAAAATCTTACCATCACTATCAAAACTGTTGGACAAGCCGGTTGCCGACTGGCCCATTAAAGCTGCTAGCCTGTCTGTGTTGGAGTCAGTATAGCTTCGGATTTGGCCACCACCTGTTTTGTACATTTCCCTTCTCTCTTCGGCTAGGGACTTTCTTGCTTTTCGTTTCAAATTTTCGTATTTTTCTCGCAAGTTCTTCGGCCCTCTTTTAACACCCATCTGGGACTCAAACGCAACATCAATTTTCTCCCACAACTTTTTTTTCTCCCCGCAGAATACAGCATCAGTCCTTTTATTTTCTAAAATCATGGCGTGCTGCTCGGCCAAAGATATTAATAAAGTCTCCTCCGCGCTGGTAAAGTTTGGAAGGCGACTTTTTCTTTTATTTGAATCCATTTTTCTTATTTTCCACAAAACACGAAGCTATTCCTGCGAGATTCTTTAAATTGTTAAAGTGCGTCCAGTTTCTATACGACCATGTAAAATGAATCCAAAAGTGATGTGATATTTGAAGGAATATGTGGGTTATCATATAGCCTATTCCCGTACTCCAGGATTTGCAGGTTTTACAGGAAGCTTTCCGTCCGCCACGTTCATACAAGTTGTATTAAAGGCAGAAACAGCTTTTCCTCTAAAACCTGCAAATCCTGGTTACGGGAATAGGCTAATAATTAACGAGCTGGTACACAAATTGGTAAGCACAATATCTTTAACACAATTGTCAATTGTTTAAAACAAGAAAACTGCAAACAAAAACCACAAAAAAACAAAAATCAGCTGTGTAGTCTGCTTTTGTCGATTCACAATGCAACTTTTGTGAACTCTTTATGAAAAAATTCACAATGATCGACATAATCGGAGGTAAGCTAATCGGACCTTGGTGAAAACGAAATTGTCAATTAAAGATATCAGCGATTAACCAATCGCAGATTAAAAATAATTTAATCAGTCTTTAATAAACCGGCCCTTATTCTTGATTTTGATGGTATGAATTTTGTTTTGATGAAAATTAAAAGTGGCGGTTGTTGTTGTTGTTCTGGCGGTGCAATGGGGTGGTAAAAGTCGAGTTTTCAATTTTTTCATAAGCTTATTTTTCGAAAATCTTCAAACCGTGGACATAGTTGGAAAGGTAATTGAAATACCTTTCATTTAGTACGTATATCTATATACTAAAATATGTATATTAAAAAAACCAAATTATGTCCTTTTTTAAATAAAAATGTGTCTTTTTCTTAAAGAAATACGTAATCAATTATAAGATATGAATATAAAAACAAAACAGTATTTAAAAAAATAGGGAAAAATTTGAAAAATCTATCTATAGTTAACTACGTATATTTTTAAGAAAAACATACATTTTTATAAATGGCTATAATTCATTTTCTATAATTGCTATAATTTCATTTTTCGTTGTTTTTTTGAAATATGTGTACATTATATGTATAGATATACATGATTTCCGAAGTATAAGCTTTTTAAAATAGTGAAAATTCTACTTTTACCATCTCCTAGCACCGCCTCTAGTAATTTGCACCAAACATTTTTAGTACCATTACAATTAATGAAAGAAGGCGAACTATTCCCACTTTTTCTTTATATATAGC